TTTTTTTGATTGATTTCCCTTTTTTTAGGTTTTGGAGATTCGTCCAAGCATTAAGTGGAACAAGGGGAAGGCTCTTGAGTTCTTGTTGGAGTCTCTTGGTTAGTTTATTTAACACCCATCACAATCACATCCCTTTCTTCATAGTATTTTGTTAAGTACTATATTAAGGAAACCAAATTATTTATCAGTTATCAAACATCAATCTTACCAACGTTTTTATTTTACAGGTTTCGCGGATTGTAACGATGTTTTTCCGATTTATATTGGAGATGATAGAACTGATGAGGACGCTTTCAAGGTGATCAATTAACTTCTATTAGTTAAACTAGAGACTTGACTTCCATATATATATGGTTATTATTATTATTTTCTTCCTTGATGTTGAAGTTATTCAGTAATTAATAATATTATTATTAACATCGTGTCATGTTATTGATTATATTTATTAGGTTTTGCGTGAAAGAGGGCAAGGGCTTGGAATCCTAGTTAGCAAATCTCCGAAGGAAACAAGAGCTTCATACTCTCTTCAAGAGCCTACTGAGGTTATGAACTTTTTGCATTGCCTGGTGAACTTGAAGCGTGGCTCAATAAAAGGTCGTTCAAAGGCGTAAATAATATAGAACTCACCAACCTGCAGGTTGTGGATATAAAAGGGGTGGGGTTAAAATTATGAAGAGGACTAACACTCGTGAGAGCTAGTTCTACTATCGATCCAATGTAACCTTCTGCTTTTATTTGTTGTTTTCTCCTTTTTGTTTACCCTTTTTGGTCTTCTTTGGGGCTTGAAAGCTTTTATTATTTCTCTCTTGCCCCCATGGAGAAGCTTATGTTGTGTAATTTTGTGTAATGAAAGGTATATAATTTTCTTTTTCTACAAGACAGTGTGAGCTTCTAACACTATTCAGTTGCAAAGTCTCATAGACTGATATGACCCAATTGTTAAAATTTACGTGGATTCAAATTGACTCAGACGAAGTAGTCCTTAGGGCATCTCCAACAGCTTCTCTAAAATTTTCTCCAAAATAAGGAAGGAAAAGTCATATTCTCCAAATTATTTTTACATCAACTCCAACAACTTTCCCATTTTGAAGAATCCCTTTTTTCCTCCAAAAATTTGGAGAATACTGCAGATTTAGGGAAACTTCCCCATTTTTTCTCCTCCATCCCTATTTTGGGGAATGAGATGAGTAATCTGTTGGACCAAAAACCTAACTAAATTCTCCAAAAGTGAGAAATGGGGAAGCTGTTGGAGATGCTCTTAGAGCATCTCCAACAGCTTCCCTATTTTATTGGTATTCTCACTTTTGAAGAATTTTGGGTTTTTTTTTTGTCCAACAGATTCCACATTTCATTCCCCAAAATAGGGATGGGGGAGGAGAAAAGGGGAGTCTTTCCCAAATCTGGGGCATTCTTTAAATATTTGGGGAAAACTTGGTCATAAATGCAACACGTTCTTCAAGACGGGATGGAGAAGAAAATAAATATAAAATAAAATCCGTAATTACAAAAAAAATCATGGGGGCAGTTCCAATGCATAAGAGCATCCAAAAATAGGAATGTGGAATACTTTTATTATTGTAATAAATGCAGGATTCTTTAAAATAGGGAAGCTATTGGAGTTGGAGCAAAAATAATTTGGAGAATATGACTTTTGTTTTCCCATTTTGAAGAAATTTTTAGGGAAACTGTTGGAGATGCTCTTATACGCATCATGTGTCCATATATATACTTAATCATATTTCAATCTAAATGCTCTTTCAACAGAAGATACTTTTAACACTTTTGTGGGTCCATCTCAGATACAATAGCTTAATGAGCTTGTGTAGGGCTGTCCATCCGGACCGGTACGGCTCAGAAAACCGGGTCCGGGCTAAGTAAAACTAGAGCCCGGGCCTGGGGTCCGGGCTCCGGTTGCTCCGGGCCCGGGCCGACTCGGTTTTTTTATTTTTTATTTTTTTTAAAAAATTAATCTCCTTACATTTTCAATTATACGTAAAAAATTACAAAAAATTTTAATAAAAACAATAATATTATTAATCACTTGAAATTACAAATTTACAAATACAAAAAATTTTATAAAAATAAAAGATGATAAAAATAACTTCTTTATTAATAATCAATAAATCTTTTACAAGTATAAATTTATTTTAGAATTCGTCGCAACACAATAGATGAGTACATCCCAACTAGGTTGGCACCTACTCACCTATATCACTATCATTTGTATTTGTTTCTAAAATAATTTATTATAAATTTTTAGCTAAGAAATAAAAATTATAATTTGATGAATATTGTTTAATCTTTATATCAATCTGTTAGTCTCAACTCTTTAAATTTATCTTCAATTCCAACCAACTGATCGATGTCTTGCGTTCTTTTCTCATACATTCACCAATCTTGTGAGCACATCACCGTATGTACAGTATATGGATCTAACGATGTCTTGTGGTCGTCGATCAAACGCTCTGTTGTGCTGAAGTCGGATTCCGAAGCTACCGTCGAAACATACACTGTTAGTAAGTCACGAACATGGTGGAAAATATAGGATATGAAACTGATCCATATACTCTCCACCATTACAAAATATCTAAATTATTATTTTGACTTTTAACTAAAGAAGCAGATAAATATTCATCTATTTCAGAAACCTCCAATGATAATCCAAGTTCAGATCCACCAGTTAGCTCAGCTACCTTTGTATACCTATCAAAACTTATACTTTTATCTCGACTTGAGCTCGAAGTAGCCGAAGCTGTAGACTGTTGTACAGCTACACCATGTTTAGTTGTATACTCATCATATAAGGTTTTAAAATAATTTCTAATAGCATTATAATGAGAAGTAGTAGTAATGATGGATCCATCATCTAAGTCTATAACGATTACCATACAGTTAATTTAACAAACTTCGAAGGCCAATATTGATCCTTCAAACACGGATCAATAAGAACCCTCAAACCAAAAATTGTAGGAATAGGCCTAAAATACTTATTAAATTTGCTTTCCATTTAAAAAATTATATCTCCAAAAGTTTCATCCATACGATATTTACCAAAAATTTTTTGAATATTTAAAATTTGTAAAGCAGCTAAAGTAATAGTTGGATAATAATAGCCAGATAATAACATTGTAGCATCATAAAAAACTTATAACATCTCTTTTAAATTACTTATAATTATCCATTCATCTTCAGTTATTCCATAGGTGCTACCAGATCTAGAACTAGAAGAATAACAAACAATAAAATTATTTATAATTTCTTTATATTTTATTGCTACACTTAACATTGCATAGGTGGAATTCCACCTATGGTCAACATCTTTTGGAATTAATCTGGGCTTTATATTTTTTTCTTTTACAGAATTATTTTCATCTTTTAATTCTTTGTTCAGAAGCATTATGCATATAAGTTATCGTCCTAACATTTTCTAACATGGGTTTAATTTTAGTAAATGCACTTTGAATAATTAAATTTAAAATATGACAGATATATCTAATATGAAAAATATCACCATGACATGGTAATGACGGAGATGTTTTGATAAAATCAACAGCTACATTATTATTACTTACATTATCTAATGAAAGAGAAAATATTCTTTCTGAAATTCCTAGTTTCATAAGTTCTTCAATTATTAAATTTGTAACATTAATACCAGTATGTGACTCTTCAATTATAATAAAAGAAACAACTCTTTTAAACAATTGTTAATTTTCATCAATACAGTGTGTTGTGATACATAAATAACATGTTTGTGCTCTAGATGTCCAAATATCAGAAGTTAAAAAAATTTACAATTTAAACTTTGAAAATAAGAAATTATATTTACTTGTTCATCCTGATAATGTTTTAAAATATCACGTTGACAAGTTTGACGAGAAATTTTTTTAAATATGGGGTAAAAACCATCTCTAAATAAATCTTTAAATTCATCATCTTATACTAATTTAAAAGAAATGTTTTTAAGAATGATAAACCTAGTGACGCATTTCCTAGCACGACCTACGTCATAATTCCAACTACCGAGACTACCAGAAGATGAGGATTGAGATATCATAAATTGTGGGATATCACCTTGAGGTGTCTGGCATTTGTTATGTTTATCTAAATGGCGTTTGAGGCGGTTGGTGTCGCTCTTATGATGAGCTTGAGGCGGTTGGTGTCGCTCTTATGATGAGCTTGAAAAATCTTACCGCACAACACACACTTAGTCTTCTGGGTGAGTATCCTACCGTGTTCATCATTGGTAACATCTATCTTCTCGAAAAAATTTTACACATCGGATCTCGGTATTTTAGGAGCTCTTGGTGTAGAATCGTCGCTAGGATCGATAGTAGCAGCTGTAGTAGGAGGGCTCATTTCAAGATTGGGAGTTAGGTTTTGCTCTTCATAATCAGATCCAGAAGCCATTTGATTGAAGAATTAGAGAGTTAAAGCGATTATTAGAGAGTATAAGAGTGTATAAGAGAGTATTAGAGAGAAGTAGATGAATTTTGGTGTGAGAAAAACAAATAAAACCCCCCCCCCCCCCCTCCTCCTCCTCCATTTATAGAGGCAGCCCTCTAGATAAATGACCAAAATATCTTCATTTTTTACCGTTTTTTTGATCGTTTTTGGGGGAAAATGATAAAACAGCTAAAATAGCTTTTACCCGCAACGGTCACCTTAGGTGACCGGTGACCGTTGCGGCCAGGCCGGATTGGCCTAACCCGGCCTGACTTTTACCCGCAACGGTCACCTTAGGTGACCGTTGTTTTCGTCAAAAGTTGCCTTCATCATTGATTTCATTAAACTTCAAACGTTACAAATGAATTCAAACAACGAAAATAAAAATTATAACTTTCTTGAAAATAAACACAAGATCTGTTTATCGTCTCTTGCTTGCGTGGGTCTTTAGCCTGTGACGGGGACGTCGATATCCGTGGACTACCTGGCAATCAGATCTGATCTCTAGAAACTTGAAGCGCCTATCTCGGATAAAGCGAGATATTTGCTCTTCTTAGGATTACCGACGAGGGGTAATGCTAAGGAACGGATGCGGGTGATGTAGATCTGATGAAGAACTCTCTTGTGTTGAAGTGCTCGATCACTCTTCACTCCAGCAGGGCTTCGCCAATTCTCTAAAAATCCAGATCCCCCAAAAGTGAGGCCTAAGGCTTCTATTTATAGGCAGTACTCCTGGGGCGTCCCCAAAAATCTAGGACACCCCTGGGGTGTCCCCAAAAATCTAGGACACCCCTGGGGCGTCCCCAAAAATCTAGGACACCCCTGGGGTGTCTCCGAAAATCCGAGACACTCCGCTGTAAATTCTTCGTCCGAACTCGGATTTTAGTGATTCGAATTGTGTTGGAATTCTGACAAAGAGTTCTATCAGCCCCGATGGTTGGATTATCTGTAGAACGAACAAGACATGAAAGGCGTTGTTCTTTTTGTAAACATCGCGGGGCTCTCGATTAGCCTGTGCCTTCGTTATTCCGCAATTCTGTCAGTTCACGTAGTTCGTCGATTCACTTCAAACGTTCACCGATGTCAATTGAACTCTTGTGAACCAGATGGTGACGTTCTTTGTCGTTCCTTAACACTGAGCTGTTCGTGGAGACCTATAGGTAATTTTCGATGCCTACAGATACCCCCTCCAAAGCGTTCCAGACTCGTTTCTTTTATAGAAGAGGCTGGAATACTTTGGATGTGATTGGTCTAGCCTTCAGTCGGCGTAAAGGACCTATAGTTAGTTTCAACTCTTGGCTCCTTCGATTTTCGGTCTATTCGATGCTTTGATGAATAACCTAAGTTCTTCCGGCGCTGCGTTTATCGCCTGGCCGTCGTCGGAGTCTCGAGTCTACAGCTGATGAATTGAGTTTGGCTCGTGTCATTGAG